GAATTGTTGACATTCCGTAAAATTGCAACCGAGTTAACAGTATCTAATAACGGACTTATCTTGAAGGGAACTAAGGTAATAATACCTAATGAATTAAGAACTCGTGTCATTAATCTCGCGCATGAAGGTCACCAAGGCCAGGTAAAGACAAAAACGCTACTCCGAGAAAAGGTTTGGTTTCCGAATATTGACAGTATGGTAGCTGTCTCTTATACACATCTAGATGTGTATAAGAGACAGGAGTACATATGATGCAAAACCGCGTGAACCGTTGAAAATGACACAATTGCCGGATTCAAAGTGGTCTCACTTAGCGGCTGATTTTTATGGCCCATTGCCATCCGGGGAACACCTTCTTGTAGTCATAGATGAGTATTCAAGATTCCCGGAGGTCGAAATAGTTAGGTCACTTGCAGCAAAGACTGTCATTCCGGTATTAGATAAACTATTTTCATCGCGAGGAATACCTGACAAGTTCAAAACTGATAACGGCCCACCATTCAATGGAGACGAATTTAAAGCTTTTGCGCGTGGTCTAGGGTTTAAACACCAAAGAATAACTCCATGTTGGCCAGAGGCCAATGGATGTGCGGAGCGATTCATGAAAACAATTGGCAAGGTGTGCAAATGCGCCCAAGTGGAAGGTAAATCATGGAAAAAAGAACTATACAAATTCTTACGCAACCATCGCGCCACTCCCCACACGTCGACTGGCATCCCGCCAGCAACGATAGCAAATGGTAAGCCGTTAAAAACTAAGCTTCCACAGATACCTGAGGTTGGTTGTATGCCAGAAGTGATACATGACAAATTAAAACTCAATGATAAACAGTCAAAACAAAAAATGAAAACACATGCTGAAATTAAGCGAAACATAAAACCATCTAGCATCCAAGTGGGTGATAAAGCATTAATCAAAAACTTAGAGAAAGGTAAATTAAAGCCTAAATACGAAGCTAAGCCTTTCACAGTAGTTAAGGTTAATGGTGACATGGTCATTGCAAA